TAATTATTTATTAAAAATTCTAGGGTATGTTTTGGGGCATTACATTTCTTCCCCCTTAAAGGAATTTCGTCCTCGAAATTCTTCTAAGGTTCATAATTGTCATCATGACTGCGTCTCATTCACATGGTTACGTTGTTAGCTTACAGATACGTATTCTCAAACCGTTTATGTCACTAAACAAGTTCAACCTTTGAAAGATTAACAATTTTCGATTAAGCAAGGTCTTCACTGATCCTTTGGTATTGATGTCAAAAGTATAGTATTGTATACTTGATATATTTGCACATAGCTTCGTTCAGTCACGAGTTTCGTTTGTACGTCATTGGTTAATAAAATCGATTGAAAATCTCTTCAATACCTTTAGAAGGTTTATGATAAATAGAGTTGGAAATTTGAAGGTTGTTTCAATTCATACGTTGTAACGTAATCTTTCAAATTACTCAAGGGGTCGTTGTCTTAGGGCAATAGCCATATTGACTTTTCATTTCTGATTTGAACGCATTTCAGGACAGCGAATCTAACTATTCATGAGTCTCATATCGTCAGCAAACTGTAGGATTGGCGAGTACGTCCTTGTCAATAGGTAAATCGAATCCATCTTTGCTGTACAAATTTCGACTGAGGAAAAGGTCAGATTTCAAGCTTATATATATCACGATTGTGGCAAGAGTATCTCACATTCTCACACTATGGAAGGAACTTCTCGAACTTTTCCTTACACCATAAAATTCGTTGGTCTACTTGGTAATCATGCTCTTGGTAGAAATCCAAAGTTCATGGCTACGGCGGTAGATTTAGGAAGGGAATTGATATGGAGAAAAATAAGGCTTGTAACGCCCCGAAAATAGGCCTATCAGAATTAATTAATTTATAATTAATTAATTACTGAGAAGGACCCAAAAATAAGTGAATTTTAAAGTTTACCTATAATTAATAAAAATAATATCGTTGTGTAGAGTTTGACTGTCTGACTTCAACGGTTCAATCAGATTTCAATTTGGAGAAAGTTGGACCAAAAAGTGTACCCCAACTGGGACCAAAATTAGTCCCAATCAGGGACTACACAACAAACAGCGCCCTGTTCAATTACGCCGATTCCAAAATCAGAATCACCTTGCAATCAAGGAAGCTGCAAACTCCCTGTCATCTTCCTCCTTCACTTGGCTATTTAAGGAGAGCCAATTCCTCCATTTCTTCACCAAAACAACTCATTCTTCCTTCTATATTGTTCCTTGCTGAGAGTAGAGTGCAGTGGTGCTGTCATCTTTGTGTGAGGTCGCCGGAGCATTGTGATAGAGTCGCCGGAAGTTTCACCGGAGAATCGTCAAAACCTCCCTTACGCTTCAAGTAAGCCCGTAGATATATCTAAACGACTAGAATGTTCATATAGGTCGTTTCTACGTTCATAAATGGTCATTTGGTTGAGTTTTGTGTTTGACATGCTTGAAGAACCAAAAATCATAAACCTTGAAATTATTGTTAAAACTTCGAATTAACGGTATTTAAATGATCTATGAACATTGGAGAACATTTCTATATACTTTAATTGAAGTTTGGTGACTTAAAATGATGTTTCGAAAATTGGACTCGAGGTTGAAGACGAAGTACTGTTGATGTTATGCAGCAACGGTCAACCGTACCGTCACCACGGTCGACTATTACCGGACCAATTGTAACAACCGCCTTCCGCAGACCCGGTTCACCCGCGACCCGATGGACCGGTAGGGTTACATGGGCAGTCTGAGAACCGTCCGTTACAAAAACATTAATGATTATTTAATAAGAAAACGGTTGGGTTTTAATTAGGGAGTAAATGCCAGGGAGTTACTCACAAAACGTGTGTAATAAAAGTGCAGAGTAATTGCAAAAGTGAATAACTAAGTCCAGTCCAAATTTAAATAACGACAAGGGTGGGTTCATGCCCAAATGATTAATCGAGTAAATGAAAATAAATATAAGCTCGTCCGTGCGCCACCCATCTCCCCATTGTCATTGCTCTCCAGGGTTAGCACCCGCACCGTCATGTCTACCTGCGTGTAGCAAAAACAACTACACGCTCAGCAAAAGCTGAGGAGTGAATCTAACAAAAGAACATTAAGTGATAACCCATATGGCTATACACATATTAATACCTGTACTTAAAGTACGGGAAAACCACATGTTACAAACTGTTTAGTTTTCACCTGTTACAGCTTTTACAAATGACAAGGTGATTGGAATATTCATGATGATGATATGACTTGATGCATGACTCTAACTATCAGGGACACCCCTGGCTTAGTCTCACTCGACAGGATCACCCCTACACTCCGGTCATTGTCCCCGAACGATAACGAGTCGGGCACGACGAAGATGTCGCGAGTGGACTAGCAAAGACCGGGTAGTAGCTGTAGCCTGACTACTATGTACATACACAAGCCCAACATGATGAAACCCGTTGGTCCCCGAAGGTCCCTGGACGGGCCCACTGTAGTAGGCGCACTAAGTCCTCCCTACAGCGGTATGCACATGATGAATACCTAGGACATGCGTCTAGTATGAACATGATGGATGATTGATATTTTACCTTTGATCAATGCCAAGATTATATCAATTATATAATATTTATAATGGAGATTAACATTTCATACATCAAACGATTTGGTTCTGGGTCAACGTGGTCAACAGGGCTCGTTTTACAATTGCCAGAAGTCTGCCGCGGAACGGTCGACCGTAGCCTACCGGCGGTCGACCGTGGGCGACGTTGAAGAGAACTAGATAGCCAGCGGTCCACCGTGGTCTTCCGCCGCGGCTGACGGTCGACCGTCACGGTGGTGACCGTCGGATTGGCCACGGGAACGGTCCACCGTCCGTAGCGGCGGTCGACCGTCCCGGAGGCAGTCCGCTGTTCCTTGCTCCGTTTTGGTCCGTTTTGCTAATTTAACACCTAGATTCTTTTTAGAACAATAACACAACATTTATGAATATAATCCTAATGATTCCTACGCCAATATTTATAGGTTTTACGTAATGAACATTTAGTGGCTAACCTACGAACATGCATAGATTCTACGTAGGTTGCGTATGATATTTCTATGAATATAACGACATAGATTATAACTAAATGTTCTAGAATTAGAGGGACAACTACTCACCTCTAAATGAAGGGATTGATGGAACGAGATGAACGAATGGTGCTAACGAACAGACGAACGACGACTACGCTTCGCACGAATGGCCTAGCTCTTCCTTCCTTCCTTCTCCCTCAACTGTGCACCCACCGGAGCTTCGCCGGAAACCTCCCTGGCTGCTGTTGCCTTGGCCGAAAGTAAGAGAGAGTGAGAGAGAGTGGAGATTGTGAATACTTGGGGGTTACAAAGTGGGATGTGAAGGGAGAGGAAATGATGGAGTTTTAATGGTGGATTAAGGAGCCTAATGAATGAGAGTAATGGGGGTGTTGAGGGGGCCGAACCAAGGGTCTAGGGAGGTTACAATACTTATTTACTCCGTAATGTAAAAATCAGACCTGAACGGTACATGCTTTTTGTTAGCCTTGGTTTGCTAAGCCTCATGTTTTGATGTTAACAAACAATATAAGAGCTTAACGTTTGTTTAAGTGTTTCAGGAAAAACAAGAATCCATTAAGATTCGGTACTCATGAATGAAGTCGAAACACTAAACTAGCGTAGAATATAAGTAAAAACCAATGTAAGGATATGACTTTATATACCTATATTCACAAGCTCAAAAGCACTCACAAAATATAATTAAAACCATCCCATAAACATTTTCAAACATCTAAAAGGTTTTAAACTCAAACACGAAGGATTAAGGATATTTTGAAAAACGCAAGACTGTAGCACGGGACCCCCCTACCGTCTGGACGGGACCCCCCTACCGTAAGGGGTACCGTACTAAGATAGGTACCGCCAGAGAGTTTTGGCCTGAGAAGGTACCTAGCTACCGTAAGCACGGGACCCCCCTACCGTATGGACGGGACCCCCCTACCGTGACCGTTGGATTACTGTTCCTGATTTGTGATTTTGAATTTAATCAATCCTAATCACCTCCCAACGGCTAATTAACATCTTCCACTATAAATATAAGCCTAATCCTTCATATTTCTTCAAGAAACAAAGCTCTAAACATCCTCTCTTTTTATTCCAAGTGTGTTCATCCTTCTATTCATTATTTTCAATATTTTGGCTATTTTAAGAGCCTTAAATTCCTGATTTTTATACACACACTTTGAGCTTGTGTTTCTAGTTATATACTCTCATATTCATAAGTTTTAATTGTATTTTTGAGAGAGTATACTTTCTTTCTACACCGGCTAAGTTTTGTTCTTCATTTTTATATTCTAGCCGTTGTGTAGAATCCTCTTTTGTGTTCTTCAAACACACCTTCTTACGGTCAAGAATAGCCGTTAAATTCTCACGTTGTAATGGTCAAGGATAGCCGTATAAATCCTTGGGTAAAGGTTCAAGGATAGCCTTTGAAATCCTTGGGGGAACGGTAGAAGATAGCCGTTAAATCTTCATTGTAAACGGTTCGAGATAGCCGTTGTGAAATCTCGGAGTGAATCCTATTGGCAAGGGTTGTTTGCCAAAACTAGTGCGGTGCTTTGACGGAGTTCAAGAGACCGAGACTTAGTGGATTCGGAAATCCTTGAGGAGGAGCCTCGAGGTACTAGAGTAGAGAGTTCCCGAACCAGTATAAAATCGGTGTGCATTTTATTTACGCTTTTATTTCTGCGTTTTATATATTGCTTCCGCATTTGCCAACATCGTTTTTATTAAACTCTGAAAAGATTTTAAAACGCCTTATTCACCCCCCCCTCTAAGGCGTGGGCACAACGACTAAACTGACTAACACTTTTTCCCCCGAACAGGTTCGAATTGAGATCCGTTTGCGTTTCTGGAATCAGACAGTCAAGACGAATTTAATGATATGATCAAATAATTTTTCTAAGAAATTTTTTTTATTTTCCCCAACTCCGGTCCGGAACAGTAATTAATTAAATCAATCAATCAATTCTATTAGACCGGGTTGTAGGGCGTTACAATTATCCACCCCTTAAGAAAATTTCGTCCTCGAAATTTACCTAATCACTGACCACTAAAAAGATGTGGATAACGAGTGCGCATGGATTCCTCGGTTTCCCATGTCGCCTCCTCGACGGTGTGACTTCTCCACAGATCCTTGACCAGCGGAATGGTTTTGTTCCTCAACTGACGGACCTCACGAGCCAGAATCTCAACCGGCTCCTCCTTGTATGTAAGATTCTCATCAAGTGTGACCGTATCAACTGGAATAACATGAGAAAGGTCCAACTGGTAAATCCGGAGCATGGACACGTGGAATACATCGTGGATCTTGCTCAACTCCGATGGTAACTCGAGCCTGTAAGCTACAGGTCCCACCCATTCAGTGACTGGGTACGGGCCTATAAACCTCGGATTCAATTTACCCTTCTTGCCAAAACGTAAGATGTTTTTCCAAGGTGACACCTTCAGGAAAACCTTATCCCCGACTGCATACTCGATGTCACGCCTCTTAAGGTCGGCGTAGGACTTCTGCCGGTCTGAAGCCGCCTTAAGTCGGTCCTTAATCACCTGAACCTTCTCCTCGGTCTCACGAACCAGATCAGGCCCCTCTAGCCTCCTCTCACTGAGCTCCGTCCAACAAGTAGGGGTACGACACGGTCTACCATACAGAGCTTCGTACGATGCCATACCGATGCTAGCCTGGTGACTGTTGTTGTATGCAAACTCCATGAGTGGCAGGTATTGCTCCCAACCGTCCCCAAAGTCGATTGCACACGCACGTATCATGTCCTCAAGAATCTGAATCACCCTTTCAGACTGACCGTCTGTCTGAGGGTGGAATGCCGTACTGAAGTGAAGATCGGAGCCCAATGCCCTCTGTAGACTCTTCCAAAACTGCGATGTGAATCGAGGATCTCGATCCGAAATGATAGATGATGGAACTCCATGTAGCCTGATGATCTCGCGGATGTACAACTCCGCTAACCGCTGAAGTGAGAAGTCACGACGAATGGGGAGAAAATGAGCTGATTTGGTCAACCGATCAACGATGACCCAAACTGTGTCGTGCTTACGTGGTGACAATGGCAGTCCCACGACGAAATCCATCGTGATGCGATCCCACTTCCACTCGGGAATGGTGATCTGCTGAAGCAGTCCTGGAGGAACCTGGTGCTCGGCCTAGACCTGCTCACAAGTCAAGCATCGCGATGTGAACTCCGTAATCTCACGCTTCATCGCGGGCCACCAATAATGTCTCCTAAGATCCTAGAACATCTTGTTACTGCCTGGGTGCATGGTATACACAGTGCTGTGTGCTTCGCAGGCGTTCTCTCACCTCCCCCACTGGCACAACCATACGCTCCCGATAGTACAAGATACCATCCCGAACTACGAAATCTGGCTTCTCTCTTGAGAGACGAGCTCAACAGTCTGGGTACAGAAATCATCGCTGCTCTGGGCTGAGGCTATCTGCTGCTGTAATGTAGGCTGGACGTGTAACACAGCTAGAGTCTTACGACTAAGGGAATCGGCTACCACATTCGCCTTACCTGGGTGGTAGGCGATATGACAGTCGTAGTCCTTAATCAACTCTAACCACCTCCTCTGTCGGAGATTCAGATCCTTCTGCGTCAACAAGTACTGAAGGCTCTTATGGTCGGTGAAGATCCGCGTCCTCTCACCGTAGAGGTAATGCCTCCAGATTTTCAAAGCAAGTACAATAGCTGGCAGCTCAAGGTCGTGCGTTGGATAGTTACACTCATGTGGCTTCAACTGCCGAGATGCATAAGCAACGACCTTGCCCTCCTGCATGAGGACACACCCCAAACCGTTATGGGATGCGTCGCTGAAAACCGTATACTCCACTCCTGGAGTGGGCTGGACTAGAACTGGTGCCTGGGTCAGACACTCCTTCAGCTGCTCGAAACTCTGCTGACAGGCGTCAGTCCCAACGAACTTGACTTCCTTCCTCATCAGCTTATGCAATGGCGATGCTATTTTGGAGAAGTCTTTCACGAACCGACGATAGTAGCCCGCCAGTCCGAGAAAGCTCCTTACCTCACGTGCATTTTGCGGAGTCTTCCACTCCGTGATCGCTGCTATCTTACATGGGTCTACCTTCACACCTTCGGCCGAAATGACATGGCCGAGGAAGGTAACTTCGTGCAACCAGAACTCGCACTTGGACAGTTTGGCATAAAGCTGCTGCTCCCGTAGAATGCTCAAAACGATACGTAGATGCTCGGCGTGCTCCTATTGTGTCTTGGAGTACACCAAGATGTCGTCGATGAAGACCACCACAAACTGGTCAAGATACTTCCGGAACACACTGTTCATCAGATCCATGAACACTTCCGGTGCGTTAGTCAACCCAAAGGGCATGACTGTGAACTCGTAATGACCGTATCTCGTGCGGAAAGCCGTCTTAGGAATGTCTTCCTTCTTGACGGGAATCTGATGGTGCCCTGAACGGAGATCAATCTTATAGAAAACTGTGGCTCCTCTAAGCTGGTCAAACAAATCATCAATGCGTGGTAACAAATAACGATTCTTGATGGTGATTTTGTTCAGTTGACGGTAATCAATGCACAACCGCATCGACCCGTCCTTCTTGCGGACGAACAGAACCGGTGCTTCCCAAGGGGACACACTGGGTCGGATGAAGCCCTTATCCAGCAACTCCTGCAGTTGAGCCTTCAGCTCCTTCATCTCCGCAGGCGCCATGCGATAAGGTGTGATCAAGATCGGTCCTGTTCCTGGAACAAGATCAATGGAAAACTCTACCTCCCTAGGGGGTGGTAGACCAGGTAAGTCATCTGGAAACACATCAGGAAAGTCACATACCGTAGGGATGTCCCCCCTACTAGGCGCCTCCTGACGAGTGTCACACACTGTGCACAAGAATGCTTCACACTTCTTGCGAATGAGTCGACGAGCGTGAATGTAGGAAATGAATTCTGGAGCTTTCGGAAGAAGCTCACCACGGATCAGTATGTCACTACCGTCTTCGGCTCTCAGTCGAACAGTATGAGCTCCACAGTCAACAACGGCTTGGTTGGCGGTGAGCCAATCCATGCCCAGAATAACATCAAACTCACGATGTGGAAGCTCAATGAGACTTGCAGGGAAGGTCTTTCCCTGGACCACTAATGGGCAATCGTGATACACATGGGTGAGTCGTAGACTATGTCCCAATGGGTTGGACACAATTACCAGGTTGTCTAAGTCTTCCCTCAGAATGTTAGGCATAACAGGCATAGGCATACAAACATATGATAAAGTGGAACCCGGATCAATCAAGGCTGTAATAGATGTATCAAATAAGGTAAACATACCCATGATGACGTCATGGGCTGGCTGCTCAGTACGTCCTTGCATCGCGTAAGTGCGGGCCGGGGCCTTCCCCGTCTGAGCGCCAGATGCTTGCCGCTTGGGCTGACTGGATGCTGCCGCCGACTTCTGGCTTTGGGCGGGCTGCGCTGCTGGGGCTGAAGCGGCCGGTGCGGACGAGAATGCCTCCCCCGGATTCTTCGGACAATCTTTTCGGAAATGCCCGGCCTGGCCACACCCAAGGCACAAGCCCAGAGTGTACCAACACTCTCCTGGGTGCCTGCGCCCACAATGGTCGCAAATCGGGTTGCGAAACCCATCTCCGCTCTTGCCCTTCTTCTGTACGGACGCAGATGACTGGGCTGGGGCTGACTTCACCTTCTTGCTCTGGTGAGAGCTGCTCGGCGCTGCAAAGGACCTCTTGCTGCTGGTCCCCGCCTTCTGGGGTGGAGGAGGACGGGATGGTGCTGCTGACGCCCCCTGCGTCTGCTCGAACTCAGCCTTCTTAATGAGGGCCGCATTCAGGTCCAACGCATTCTTGTACAACGCGTTGATGTCACTTCGAGGAGCAATGATCAGATGAGCTGAAAGGTCAGGACGTAAGGCCTCCACGAAGCGTTTGCACCGCTTCTCCACAGTCGGTACGAGGTCTTGCCCAAACCCCGCGAGCTCGTCAAACTTCTGACGATACTCAGGCAGTGTGAGTTCACCCTGGGTGAACTTCAAGAACTCCTCTCGCTTCGCCTCGATGAAGTGCTCCGGGATGTACTCTTCATGGAAGAGTCGATCAAAAGTGGCCCATTGAACGGGCTCCGGAACGTCTGCTCCAACGCGCTTCCACCAGTTGTAGGCAGAATCCTGAAGTCCTCCCTACAGCGGTATGCACATGATGAATACCTAGGACATGCGTCTAGTATGAACATGATGGATGCTTGATATTTTACCATTGATCAACGCCAAGATTATATCAATTATATAATATTTATAATGGAGATTAACATTTCATACATCAAACGATTTGGTTCTGGGTCAACGTGGTCAACGGGGCTCGTTTTACAATTGCCAGAAGTCTGTCGCGGAACGGTCGACCGTAGCCTACCGGCGGTCGACCGTGGGCGACGTTGAAGAGAACTGGACAGCCGGCGGTCCACCGTGGTCTTCCGCCGCGGCTGACGGTCGACCGTCACGGTGGTGACCGTCGGATTGGCCACGGGAACGGTCCACCGTCCGTAGCGGCGGTCGACCGTCCCGCAGGCAGTCCGCTGTTCCTTGCTCCGTTTTGGTCCGTTTTGCTAATTTAACACCTAGATTCTTTTTAGAACAATAACACAACATTTATGAATATAATCCTAATGATTCCTAAACCAATATTAATGGGTTTTACGTAATGAACATTTAGTGGCTAACCTACGAACATGCATAGATTCTACGTAGGTTGCGTATGATATTTCTATGAATATAACGACATAGATTATAACTAAATGTTCTAGAATTAGAGGGACAACTACTCACCTCTAAATGAAGGGATTGATGGAACGAGATGAACGAATGGTGCTAACAAACGGACGAACGACGACTACGCTTCGCACGAACGGCCTAGCTCTTCCTTCCTTCCTTCTCCCTCAACTGTGCACCCACCGGAGCTTCGCCGAAAACCTCCCTGGCTGCTGTTGCCTTGGCCGAAAGTAAGAGAGAGTGAGAGAGAGTGGATATTGTGAATACTTGGGGTTACAAAATGGGGTGTGAAGGGAGAGGAAATGATGGAGTTTTAATGGTGGATTAAGGAGCCTAATGAATGAGAGTAATGGGGGTGTTGAGGGGGCCGAACCAAGGGTCTAGGGAGGTTACAATACTTATTTACTCCGTAATGTAAAAATCTGACCTGAACGGTACGCGCTTTTCCCCCCGAACAGGTCCGAATTGAGATTCGTTTGCGTTTCTGGAATCAGACAGTCAAGACGAATTTAATGATATGATCAAATAATTTTTCTAAGAACTTTTTTTATTTTCCCCAACTCCGGTCCGGAACAATAATTAATTAATTAAATCAATCAATTCTATTAGACCGGGTTGTAGGGCGTTACACCAGTAGCTTCAGTACAACGGAGGCAACGACGGTTGGCCATCACTTGAAACGATCGACCGTTCTAACACAGTGAACTACACAAATGCTATTTTTTAGTTCTAAAATCCTATTTTTGATACCAATTGATTATGATTATTATAAGAATGATTTTTCACAATAAGAATGCTGTTTTTAACAAATTAAAACATTATGTGATGCCTGACGGTAAGTTCGGGTGTTAACACTCGAGACTAGGCCGCTATTTGTTATTAAATGTATGTTGATTGATCATTACAATGAATAATTATTATGGATGATTATGAATGATAAACCCACTGATTAGGATAATTATCAATGATTAAAAATTAATATAATGGTGATCATGAAACCGGTGTATTGTTAAGGCTATCTCGAAGACCTCTAAAATAGACCTCAAATTAGATTGGGCCTTGCGGGTATAAATATGTATATTCGGTGGCCTTGGATAAAAACGTGCGTACGGGGTCCATAAACCAAACTAGAGGAACTCGTTTGGGGATACCACCCAACCCGAAAGTTAGTATTCTACTGTTCGGTTTTCTAGATTTGTACCTTAAGCGAAGGCTAGTTTAAGAGTTGGTAAATCAATCGAAATATGTACCTTAAACCAATGACCTAGCTTAAGAGTTGGTTAGAAGTACCTTGAACTAGAAATAGTTTAAGAGTTGGTAAACATCAAAAGATTGGCCTTAGACTAAGCATAGTTTAAGGATATTGTTAATATTGAATATTGAACATGAATGTTGATTATTAAGATATTGAAATAAAAACATTGAAAATANGGTATAAATATGTATATTCGGTGGCCTTGGATAAAAACGTGCGTACGGGGTCCATAAACCAAACTAGAGGAACTCGTTTGGGGATACCACCCAACCCGAAAGTTAGTATTCTACTGTTCGGTTTTCTAGATTTGTACCTTAAGCGAAGGCTAGTTTAAGAGTTGGTAAATCAATCGAAATATGTACCTTAAACCAATGACCTAGCTTAAGAGTTGGTTAGAAGTACCTTGAACTAGAAATAGTTTAAGAGTTGGTAAACATCAAAAGATTGGCCTTAGACTAAGCATAGTTTAAGGATATTGTTAATATTGAATATTGAACATGAATGTTGATTATTAAGATATTGAAATAAAAACATTGAAAATATCATGAATGAATATTGTGTGCATGATATCAAATGGTTATTTGTGAATTAAGATTCAATTTATGTGGATGTTCGACGTTTTAGATATGCTTACTCAGCTTCACCGCTGAGCATTTAGTGTGTTTTATTTGCTACACGCAGGTAGGCAAAATGAATGATTGGCATGATCCTGGTAGCGGATGGGGCGAGACTTTTGTGGTGGAATTTGTGATTTTAAAATAAATAATTGTGTTGTTATTAAACATGGTTTAAATTGCTTCCGGATTATTGTTAAACACTCCGTATTTTGCTACAGTTATGTATTAAATAATATTTATGATGAATAAAAGTATTTGAAATGTTTTAAATTTTACGATTACCAAGTTAATACTTTAGTCCGAAAAGGGCTGCAGACCTGGACGGATTAGGGTGTTACAATTTGGTATCGGAGCAAATCTATACTTTATTTAAAAAGACATGGAGTCAACATATGGTTTTCCCGCCCATGCGTTATGACAATTAAAAATGGTAATTGTGAACTTAAAAAGGTAAGTGGCCAAAATTATAGTAATAATTATTATAATTAGAGGAAAATCTTTTTATTATATTATCACACGGCATTAAGTGGCCGAAATTAATACCATATTAATTTTCTTTTTATATTATCACACGGTATTAAAGGCAAATCTTCCTTTTTTATCACACGGAGTTAAGTGGCAAATCTTCTTATTATATTATCACATGGTATTAAAGGCAAATCTTATTTTTTTATCACATGGTATTAAGTGGCCGAAATTATATATTTATAATAATTAAAGAAAGGTAGGTTAAAATGGCAGAAAGGTAAGTTAATTATTGTGATGTAAAAATTAAAACGTGATATTATTAATCTAAAAAATAATTATTATTAATCTAAAATATGCTTTAAAAGCTACATATACACTTCTTTTTTATCACACGATATTAACCATAATAATTAAAGAAAGGTAAGTTAAAATTACGGAAAGGTGAGTTAATTATTGTGATGTGAAAATTAATATTACTTTTTACACACAATGCCTTTAGAAATGTGATATTATTAATCTAAAATATAATTATTATTATTAATCTAAAAAAATAAGTTAAATTCCTTTTTTATTACACGGTATTAACCAATTTCCTTTTTAAAACGAACAGTTTTAACGCGTAATTATTAATCTAAAAAAATAATTTAAAAGCTATAAATACAGTTCTTTTTTATCACACGGTATTAACCAATTTTCTTTTTAAAATGGACAGTTTTAACCATAATCATTTTAAAACGTGATCAACGATAATATAACACCATTTATAATTGGTTATTAATATTAAATAAACGGATTTTTTCTAATCAAGGTAATTATATTCTAAATCCTCAATAAAAATGATTCCACGGAATATTATACAAAAGGACACTACAAAGCAGACAAACCTACACTACAAACAAAATACAAAAGGAAATATAATTTTTTTAAAAAGGAATATTATATTTAAAACACAATGCTTTCAATTCGTATGGAGTGTACTAATTATTTTGGGTATAAATAAGTATTATGAGTACTGATTGGAAACCTCCAATTTTTTTTCAAGAATAAGTAACCGTCATTTTTATACACTCAATTGGAAATAATTACAAAAGGTAAGTTATACAATGATACACCCAATCTATACTATACGTAAAAAGAGGTGAATTGTTTCTTGTCCATGTGTAAGAGTAATATATGGAAATGTTATGCATTTTACTCATTATATATATATATGTGTGTGTGTGTGTGTGTGTGGATGCATTAAATTTAGTAAGCATTAATTAATACTCCATAATTAATGGTAAATGAAATATGTTAAGGATAACTTTGTATGAGCATGAAAAATGAGGAATTTCATAGAAGTATTATTAACTAATACGTAGTAATTAATTAATAATTAATGGTAATGTAGAATTTCATATTAGCATTAAAAATGTTTCCATTTTTATTTAAACATATCAGTATGTTTTTTAATAACAACAAAACAATAAGGGGGAAAAGGAAATATGTTTCAATTTTTTTAAATACTATGCCAATTAATGATAAGTGATAAGTAGGAATATGTTTCTATTTTTATTTAAAAAAATTATGTTTTTTTATAAGCATTAAAAATGTTTTTATTTTTATTTAAATACATTAATATGTTTTATTCTTAATAATATCAAAAAAAGTAATTCGAAAAGGTGAATATGTTTCTATTTTTATTTAAATGCTATGCCAATTAATGGTAAGTGTTGCTATGGCAATTTTGGATTCTATTAATTAATAATTATATGTTAAAGGGGAATATGAGCATTAAAAAAGTTTCCATATTAATTTAAAACCTATTACGATTTTTTTCCAAGTTTAAAATTAAAAATTATTACCATTTTGATCTAAGTGTAAAAATAAAAATGTAGACTTGGGTTTTTTATTTTATTCAACTGGAAATTAAATATACTTGGAATAAAATTTCCAAAATATTAACTATTTTTGATAATATGAAAAGAAATGAATAAAATAACAAAAAATGGAAGTTCTCTGTAAAAGTTCACTTTTATCGTTAAATGAAAAAAATAATTACTCGAATAAACGTCTCTTTAAAACGTATTTAAATGGACTCATAAATTATGAATATGATGTATGAATAATTCTACTATGAGGATCACAAATGTTTTATTTTTATTTTTTAATATTTAGGGAAAATTGGCTGCATTGTACATTGTGGACAGATATTTGTTTATCTGGTGATCGATGGTCTCAAAAAGTGGTATCGT